CAGGAGTTCAAAAATGGGTTATTTAATTTTGCATTTATGTTTTCATCTTGTCACTTCTGTCTCTGGCCAAATATAATTTAAATTTAATTTACTTAGTGGTTGGGCAGGCAGAATAAAAAAACACTCCCCTTGACAATCCTCCATAATCTGCATCTCAGAGTTCCTAAATATGAATCGCCGGCGGAGACATTTTTAAACTTGTTATTGTGAATTGTGCAAAGGTTTCAAGAGCAGGTGACGAGTTTCTGTCTTTTGTTTCAGCTCAGTCACGGTGGTTCCCACAACGTAGGGGACCCCACTTAGCTCACTTCCTCCCCGTGTCTCCTCTCTCTCTCTCTCTCTCTCTCTCTCTCTCTCTTGTCTTCCTTCTTTGCTTCCTAACCCTTTTGAACGTTTGTTCTCGGGTAAACACTGTGCTTTTGATCTCAAATGATTGAATAGATAAGTATTTTAATACCTAAACCCAGAGAACTTTAGGCTTTACACAAACTAAATTTTGGCACTCATACTCAAAATGATACTCTGTAATCATTTTCTATTACAACTAAGATTATTCACATTAAGCTGTACTGAGAAAACAGCCCCCAGTTAAATCAATAATTCAGGGTTTACCAATTCACGACTCTGTGTGGCTATACATCTATGTGCCACAGAGTCAGGTCTGACTCACAGCGACCCGACAGAACACAGAGCAGCTGCCTCTGTGGGTCTCGGAGAATGGAAGTCTTTACGGGTAGAAAGCCTCATTTTCCTCCCTTGCAGTGGCTGGTGTTTTAGAACTGCTATCCTTGGGGTTAGTAGCCCATTGCGTAACCACTACACTACCATGACTCCGTATCTACATGCTTGTCCTAGCCAAAAGGGAAGAAATTACCTCTGTGGGGTGATTCGTGAGGTTCTGTTGATTCAAAGAGTCCAGCACTTGGCTATCAGCAGAAAGGTTGGCAATGTGAACCCACCTCACAGGTGCAGGGGAAGAAGAAAGGCCAGGCCGTCTGCTTCTGTACAGACTGCAGGCAAGACAACCCCACGGAGCCTCGCAATCCAGGGGAGGTAAGCAAAGTAACAGTAACAGGGAGCTACTGCCCTACACACACTCACAGTGAACTCCAAATTTAGAAACAAAACAGAAAACAACCAATGCTGCAGAGTTTGGAGCCCCCACCCACGGTCGGTCAGTGGGACTGTAAATCTGTGCACCCACTGTGGAAAGTGACAGGGTGCCACCTCAAGCAACTGGGGATAGAAATTCCTTTGGATCCAGCAATGCCTCTGTTGGGACGTACCCTGAAGAAGTAAGAGCCATAACAGGCGCGGGCATGTGCCCTCCCACGTTCACTGCAGCACTGCTCACAGTAGCAACAGGATGGAAACAACCTAAATGCCCATCGGTAGAAGGATGGAGAAAGGAACGGGTGCATCCACACGAAGGAAGACTGTGCATTTCTAAGAACCACGAATCGTCTCATGGCACCGATGGGCCTGGGGAGCATTATGCTGAGTGACATTAGCCAAACACTAACGGGCAAATGCTGCATGAGACCACTGTTAGAAGAGGGCTAAAGAAGACAAAGACTTTCGTGCCAAAGGGAACAGATGTTGGTACCAGAGGGAGGGAGATGGAGCACGAGGCTAGAGGGCTAACAGGTATTAACTTGAGTAAAGGAGAAGACAGGAATCCACAAGAGGGAAAAGAAGTGAGGGGCGGGGGGCGCAGTAAACTACTGGGGAGAAGGGGTAGTAAGTTGTTTCAACTGTTGCATACAAAATTGAAGTTCTGAAATGTAAAATGCCCCACCATGTTTAAAATTTTGTTTTAAAAAGACCAATTTGCCTGGCCTTTGGATTCAAAGAGTGGATTCAACAAATCCTAGTTCTACTGCTTATTAACTTGGTGATCCAAGTCATGGGCAGTTCCACTCTGTCACATGGGGTTGCTATCAGTCAAACCAACTCAAGGGTCCCAACAATAACAACCAATGGGCAAATATAACCAGAATCAAGCGGTCAAAATAACTGGCACTCCTCTCATTAAAATAACTTTTGGGGGGCGGAGGGGGGATAAGCCTTTATGATTAGACTCTCTTCTTTGGGTCAAGCTTTCCAAATTCCCCCCCACAAATAAATCTATGTACTTATATGTATATGTTAGGTATTAAGGTAGCAGATGGACATTGGGCCTCGACTCAAGTACTCTCTCAACGCAAGAACACTTTGTTCTATTCTAATAACCCAGTATTCTGTGATGCTCACCTTCCCGACTCAGTTGCTGAAGACAAATGGGTGCATAAGCAAAAGGGTGAAGAAAGCTGATGCTGCCCGCCTATCAAAAGATATAGCAACTAGGGTCTTAAAGGCTTGAAGATAAATACGCAGTCATCTAGTTGAGAAGCAACAAAGCCCACATGGAAGAAGCACACTAGCCTGTGTGATCATGAGGTGTCAATGGGATCAGGTATCAGGCAATAAGACCCAGAAAAAAACCATACCCAAATTATTTTGGGGTGGGGGGGGCATGGAGTGGAAACCCAATGACCATCTGTAGACAAATGGACATCCCCTCACAGAGGGGTCACAGGGAACAGATGAGCCAGTCAGGATGCAGTATAGCACCGATGAAGCACACTACTTTCCTCTAGTTCATTGGTCCTTCCTTCACCCCACTATCATGACTTCAATTCTGCCTTACAATTCGGATTAGACCAGAGCATGTACACTGCTACAGATAAGAGCCTACAAGACAGGGAATCCAGGATAGATAAACCCCTCAGGGCCAACAAGGAGAGTAGAGATACCAGGAGGATTAGGGGTGAGTGGGGGAAGAAAAGGGGAACCTATCACAAGGATCAACTTAGAACCCCTTCCCAGGGGGACAAATAATGGAAAAGTGGGTGAGGGGTGACAGAGGATGATGTAAGATATGGAAATAATAATCTATAACTTATCAAGGGTTCATGAGTGAAGGCGGCTGGGGGAGTGAGGGGGAAGAAATGGGGAGCTGATATCAGGGGCTCAAGTGGGAAGAGAATGCTTTGAAAATGATGATGGCAGCATATATGCAAATATACTTGAAACACTGGATGACTGTATGGATTGTCTAAGAGATATAAGAATCCCAATAAAAGTATTTTTTTATAAAAGGCTTGAAGATAAACAAGCAGCCATCTAGTTGAGAAGCAACAAAGCCCACATGGAAGAAGCACACCAGCCTGTGTGACCATGAGGTATCAATGGGATCAGGTATTAGGCATCAAAAAAATCATAACATTGAGAATGAGGGGCAGTGCGGAGTGGAGACCCAAAGCCCATCTGTAGACAATTGGACATCCCCTT